TTTAAGAAAAACCATGTCACTTACTGTTCTCAAACTTACAGGAAAGAAACATGGGACTAAAATATAGCTTCAGTGGGCAATGCAATCTGCCAGTTAAACAGTTTTTTTGTGAAAATTTAATTTTTCACATATTGGCATTTTCAAGGTGTGACTTTGAAGTTCCACAGGCTTGAAGACCCATGCTAGTCACATTTTCTAAAAATCCATGATACATATATTTTATTATTAAAAATTGACGGTCATTATGCTGTTAACCATAATGTAATATGGCATCAGAATAGAAGAAAACACAATTTTGGGTGCTGCTGCCGTGATGACCATTATGGGAAAACCATGTTACTTATGATTGCCAAACTTTCAAAAAAGAAATACAGGACTAAAATGCAGCCTGAGTTGGAAAAGCAGTCTTATTGGCTTCTTTTTCTGGAAGTTATACATTTTCAAAGTGTGAACTTGAACTCCCATGGGCCTGAAGCCTTATGCTTGTTACACATTTTACTTACATTGGTATTACCTGTTGAGCATAATTAAAATTTGATGTTGAATTTGCAGTTTAACATAATGTACTTTTGCATCAGAATTGACAGTAGCCTATTTTGTGCATAGTAATTTCCTGCTTTTTGTCTGTACATTTGACAGCTTTGCTGCCTTGTTTTTTATTTGTGTGTAATTCAGGAGGGAATTGTTTTTGCAAAAATGTTAAGTAATGTTTGCAAGAAGTATATAATGGTTTTTAAGGTGAAGAAGGGGCATATTAAGCATCTATTGTCAGCAAACACCTTTTATGATAGAGAAATCCAGTAAGTTCCACTATTTGATAAAGAAAAATGCAGCTTGACATCTTTGAATGGGCAGCACATATGTAGCTAATATTTATTTTGTTTGTTGTTTAATTAAAATGAAATAAAAAGAAGCAAAAGAATTTTGTTTTATTTCACATTAAATGACAGCGTTATGCACTAAGGAATCGCCATTAAAATATTGCACAGTTGAAACCTGTTTATTGCACGACAATGATCAGTAGTGTCGTGCCAATACAAGCAAACCAAGGAGTAAGAGTGATTTTTGTGTAATGCAATACAATGGAACGAATTTCTCAGAATCTAATAGATTGTTAGCATCTGATATGCCTGCTTGCGCTAGGCCCTTAAAATATCCCAAAGTTAGTATAAGAACATGATGCCATTCTTAATATGTAAAGTAAATTTACCTTTTTATTTTTGAGTTGCATTATCTAATTTGGTGAAATTTGATGGAAAGTGAACTAATAGGGGAAGGAGTATTTTGAAAAGTGCAAAACCATTTACCAGGTACGTTTTATTGAAAAAGAAATATGCATACCATTCTAGTGAGACTCCCCAGGGGGATGGATCGATCTAAAAATATGTGGGAATGCAGTCTAAGAGATTTAGAGATTTAGATCGATCTAAAGATTAAGTTTTAGATCGACCTAACTCCCTGGGGGTTCATGCTAAATTGCACTCAGCCGAGCGGGCATCATAGTTAATTACCCCATTACAGCTTTTAGTAGGCGGGACAGACGCTTAAGCCGGCCAAGCTGACAGTAATCTAGTGAGACTCCCCACAGGGATAGATCGATCTAAAAATCTATGGAAATGGGGTGTTATATTCACAATCTTACTGCAACCTTGGGTTTGACCTTTTTTCCTTACGATTTTGTTATAAATTTTAATTATCTCAAAAAAAAAAAAAAAAAAAAAAAATATATATATATATATATATATATATATATATATATATATATATATATATTGAGGACTCTTGTTTCTTGCATTTTGCAGACTTTGTCAAATACAACAATAGAGATAGTGCCCATTTTTCATACGAACGCGCCTACTACAGCTACTGGCGCTATCGCCTCTCAGATCCCCCAGTCTTACGTTATATATTCTATGTCAGTATTGTTACGTTTTTCACCCGAAGAAACCAAGGCAGACGACGTTACTTTTTCTTGCAAATTCACTTCCTGTTTATTGAAACTAAGATCTATCAATGACTAGTAAGTAGGTGCTCTAAATCTAAGTTTGAAGAATTCAGTACCCTGCTAATAGTGATCTAACGCTGCTCTTATACTAATACTGCTACTCTCTCTATAGTCTGAGAGTGCGCCCCTATTTATACTCCTCTGCGGTCACTCTCTGTCCGTCTCCAGTTGGCTATTTTCAGCCATGCACTGTTTAACCCCTCGAAACTTTGTAACTTACAGGACAATAATTTGTGAGCAGGAGAATTCTGCGGTATATAATTTTGGCGAGTAAATCCCCTATACAACCTTAAAATAGATCTTATACTTATTCTTAATATCTATAGTATATGTGTCTTGATTATATAAAGAAGAGGGTCCCACTGCATATTTCCGTTACTCGTGAAGGTCACTTTTTATTTCTCGATCGCGAGATGCATGAAACGTTCATATTTATTGAGCGTTGCCCGTGAAGTACCCAGTTCCCGTGACTGTGATTCGTGATTTTCAGAAGTTTCATTTACATTGATTTGGCAATTGATAATTTTCTTTCCAGTGAAGTGTGATTCCTACCTCCCCCCCCCCCCCCCCCCCACTCAATAGGACTCTCAAATAGATATTTCTGAAACAAAGCGTAAAAAGCGGTTTGAGAGGGCCAATGACAGAGAGCGACAGAAAGGAAGAGTTGTATCGATAATTTTTTCACTAAAAGAGAGTTACAGTGAGACGACTCCCACCGTGCTTCATTTAGGACGAAAAAAGTAAATGACACGAAACTGCTGGATTAGATTCGGCAAAACATTTCCAAAAGTATTGGAAGGATAATCCGTGTTTTTTGTTTTTTCAGCAGTTTGCAGCAAATTCCAAGAAAAGTAGTGTTGTTTTCTGCTTACCAGTTCCTCTTTGGAAGTTATCCAGGCACAAAACTGTATCCTGAAGCTACGTATACGAGTACATTTGCACTCTGCCTAGCTTACAAAAAATGATTCGAAGTCAGCCTACACTGTAGGTGTTTTTTAAAGGGGGATAAGACAACATAAGACAGAGAGGGATAAGACAGAGACATTAATTTCTGCTGGTTAACTTTTTTATCGCTTTCAAAAACATCATTACTGTAAAGGTGAATGTTCCTTTACGTTGAGTAAATTTTAATTGCGTCAGATTTAAATTTGCTAGCTTTCTCTTTCCTTTCGCTGGGGTTGTTTTTTACCTAACTTAATACATGCCCAGGCTCCTTGTTGTTCAAAGCCTTGAGAATTCTCCCAGGCGGATGGGCCCGACTCTCTCTTATGTCCTTGACTTGAAGGCGCAGCGTCTTAGAAACAATACAGAAAAACATCCTGGTTTGACCTATAAAATGTCAACGCTAAGCCACATTTTCAGAACTAACTACAAGCCTTTTATTTGTGTGAAAAGACGTTTTTATACAGCTTTGCCTGCATCAGCCGAGAAATCCCACAAAGTAAGTGCCATATTGCTATTCTTTTCACTCAAATTGCGAGATATTGCCGGCCAAATAACAATGTAAACATCTTACTGCTTTTAAACAATTGGCTCTTTATACTTGTAATTTACAGGAACCTTAATGGAGACCAAGGTTTTCACTCTCTTTGCGTTCCTGGTTGCAATGACAACTGAGTGCAGCGCCGCATCCTTAAGTGAGTAGAAATATATTAATGCGGTAGTACATGTATATAATTACATAGAATTATGAGAGAACTGTTTCGAATGGACGAGGTCTGTAAAGATCATCCCAGCAAACACAAATTATTTAACAAGTTAAAGCCAAAAAATCATGTTTAAAACATTTATGTTGAGTAAAATTGCTACACACACACACCTGTGTAAACATTTACGTTTATTTTCTAATTATAAATAGTGGGAGTCTTTCTTTTGAAATATTTTAAGTTTTCTTTTGTACTTCATTGTACTTAACGCTTGGTTAAGGTGATTTTAAGACTTTTGACCTTATTTATCTATCTATTTTAATTAGCCGATGATTTTGATCGTCAAAAGCGCAGTGTATGGGATGTTGGCGGGAGTTACACCTGTAACCCTGATCCTAATTGCGCAGGCAGCGGTTTCACCGGAACAATTACGATCAATTACCAAAATTGCCGCTGCAGAGGAACACAGCTGTGTTGCGTGCAGATTACAGGGAGAGGAACATATGGACGACCGCCCACTCCCCCTCCACGTAGCTTCGGTGGGTTTGGCAGTAGAAATCATGGTGGTTTCGGTACACGTGGTGGATTCGGCGGTGGATGGCGTGGTTAAATGACGTGAAAACACAACTAGCATGTGTTAGGACACTGATTAATTGTATTTAATAGTCAAAATGGTGCCATTGACGTATAACTACATCTTTACACTTTTCTTGTTGCTGTTTATGTTCTCTTATGAAGTATAAAATTATTCCGATGTGCGTGAACGCCGCAAACCTGCTAGATGCTGTTTTTTCAAGAAAATAAATCTGTTTCGAAAAATCTGTCTATTGCCTTTTTAAAAATTCTTTTAAATAACGTCTTTTAATGCAAAGCCTTTTAATACAAAGCCTCTGAACTTGAGCTTTTCCCAACGAACAAAAATAAAATGATAAAACAAAATTTAAAAAAACGCAAGAAAAATTAGAGATGAAAGGTGTCATCCATCAAAATGGCAGGAAAATGGGTGGGAAATAAGCAAGGGCTCAAACTCAACCAACTTTGTATTAAACGGAGTACATATCGAACCTTTCTACACATGCCTGATTATAAAATATATAATTTTCTGAAATTTATCCTTATTTCCATGGCAACCGTTGCAAAATTTCAATAGCAATCAATAGGGCCTACTATTTTTTATTCTTCAACTTTAAGGCTTCAAAATCACTGTCCAAAGGCTACTTCTGGATGAAAATGACGCTAAAAATACGCCATCATTAAAAACAAAAATAATGGTTTCTAATTCATCTGGTGCTATGGAAACTGCCATTATGATGTCTGTTTCTATGGTAACAGTTTGAATATTTTTTTTTACATATTATCATGAGTTTTTAAACTGAATATGAAGTGGGAGACACTCTTGGTACTCAATATATGAATTTAAGTAGAATAGTTAACAAGTACAACGCCACTATTGCCATGGCAAACAATATTACAATGGCAAATTGCATATATATACGATTTTAAGGTTTAACTAGTATAAAATGCCAACATGCACAATGAAAATAAGTTATATCGGATTTTGGGAAGTTACCATTTTGCCAAAAAAACTTTAATTGATATTGGACACTATAGGAGCGAGGTAGGGCCTAATACAAAACTAGTGAGGTTTTTTGGAGAGACTGCCATTACATAATGGCAGTTCAGGAATTTTATTTTCATTTATTATTTTTTTAGCTCAGATAAGAGGCTGTCAGAACGTCACCTTTGTCTTAGCATTTGTCACTGATTAGTGCCTACCTCGGTGTAATAGGTGAATAAGTGTGATTATGTGTGGAATTTCATGTCAGATGGACATATAGACGTCTAAAATTGTCACAATATTTTAAAAAAGATACAACTTTGCACAGCAGTCGTGGATCAGTACGGTTCAGTTGTCAGTTGCGAACTACTTCCTGGTTTTCACAAGGTCCTTCAAAGACTCTAAAACATCGTTATAATTGCAGCACATACCATAAAACACCCAAAAATACTTAGATATGGGCGTAATAGATTGCATACATGCAAAATTCCACATGACAACGATTAATAGCCTCCCGGGAATTATTTTCTCTTGACGCTTTGTTGCGACGGCGGTCGATGCTGCATATATTTCAAAACAAATTGTCTGCAAATTAAGCACAATTTTTCACCCTTAAAATCCGTGACACGTTTTCATATCATGCTCTAATTATTTCTACAAGTATCCCTGTCCCAAATGCATAAAGATAAATTGTTATCTTACCGTGTTGTTAGAAAAACTACTTTTTTCTCCGAGTTCACGTCTTTACTCCCGTTCACCTCCAGCTAAAAATGAACACATAGCTTCGCGTCTTACACCACTACACGTCACTTTAAAGTTTGTTTTCCTCATTTGGTGGTTTTAGGAGGAATAAAAATAGGGAGAATAAAAATAGGGAAAACATTTAAAAAATAAAAAATATAACATAGGCCTACTCTACCCTCTACCAAGGTTACAGATTTTTAACCAGATATTCACAGATGTGCCTCTGGCTAATTCATGACAGAAAGGTGCGCGTTATTTATCAATTGACGGTCCTGGTATTTATCTACAGCCCTGGCCTACTCCCCGAATTTTCATTTCTGTCTAATGTGGCTGCGCAGGCGTCTGTCATGAACTTTATTTACTTTATTACTAGTACACTATACCCCATTTATAAAGTAGGCCTACATTCGGACTATCGAACCTTCGGACTAATGAACCATCTAACGGACTAACGGACTATCGAGACACACCCGACCTGACCTCCCTAACGGAATTAAAATGATTAGGTCAAATTGGAAAAATGATACATTATTGTTTTAAGGCTGCATATAGTGTACATTATCTGCTAATGTCTCTTCTTTTTAAAATTAAAATATGCATATTAAAATATGCGAGAAGTTATTTAGGCCTACATCTTACCTCCAAGAAAAAAACTTTTTTGGACATTACAGTGAGGCATTGATAAGTAGGCGTAACAAAAAAGTTATGGAACAGATTGAGAAGGTATGGAACAGACTGAAAGCAAAAGTTGCTTTACGCGGCAGATTGATGTGCTGCTTGGTAAAAGCACTATCGGGAAATGTAGGCCTAGTTCAACGCAGATATGTAGGCCTAGTTTTTGTGTTAACAATAGGCCTAGTCTACATTCATTTGATCACAAAAAAATGAACTTTACACAATTAGAGATAGGGGATGTATCGAAAACATTTTTATGATTAGGCATTGCGTATAGGCCTACCAGCCAACAATGCGGTTAATGTGCATTCCTATTATTATTATTATTAGGCCTACTTTTTTTTGTTAAAGTAAAAACTTTATACAGTGGGGTGATATGCCTATATAGGCCTATACAGGGGCGGATTCAGGATTATTTGAAGGGTGCGAAGTCGACCCTTCTCCACCCCTTCCCCCCCCCCCCCCCCCTCCCCCCCCCCAAATTGGCGTGCGGTTAGGGGTTTGCTGAAAGGGGGGTCCCCGAAAATTTTTGGTATTTTAGAGGGCAAACGGTGCCATTTGGTACGGTTTAGAACTATAATTCAGCTTGTCAAAATTCTAATTTGAAAAGGGAACCTTTGATGTTATTTTTTCAGAAATTGAAGGGGAGTCAAGATCGATCCCC